ACATATCATTGGCTGGCGTTATGTTTCTGTACTTTGGGCTCCTCCCAGTTTGCGGTTGCCTAGGCATCCGGTTTACTTCTCTAGGCGGCCTAGTTCCCTTTTGTTACCGGGCCAAGGAAAGGTCAAGGGCAAGTCTCCATCTGAAGGCCTGGGTTGTGCAGGCCTTTTGGGAGAGCATGGCCCCGACTCTCTGACCATTCCTCTGTAAGAAATTGCAAACTGAGAAGGCGGCAGAGACCCAACCATGCTAGACGATAGAAGTAGGTATGTTCAAGTTCAGTCAAGAACACGAACATATATGTTCAGTTATATTCTTTGTAGTTGTTTCCTCCTAGCTAGCTTATTTCAGAATTGCAGAATTGTGAATAGAGTACTTAAAAATGGAAAGATGCTAGGCAAAGGCGCTATCTAAACTTCATCATCAGCATCCTGATGGCATCCATCCAATGTACTGTTTTTACTTGTGATAGTGAGTAGGGAGGGAGATCAACTATTTACATCTCCCCGAAGTGTATAATAAGAATCTGAAGACTGGTCTATCTTTCCTAGCACCTAACAGAGTACTCCTTCCTTATTTAAGGATACAGTTTGTGTCTCTTCTTTATACTTCTGAAGAAAATAATTGTTCTAAACTTAGGTTACAAGCAGAAGATGAACGAGAGAAAAATGGATCAGAGGAAGATGATGATGAGAAACCTGGAAAGAGGGTTGTAGGACCCAGAAAAAAGTTTCATTGGGATGATACAGTGAGGTGAGCCAAAACTACCTCTCTTTGCTGAGATTTTTCCTTTCTTTTTAATGGGATCACTAGGAGGAGGATGTTATAGAATGCGCTCTAAAAAATGATCCTTTTTGGAAGCACAACTCGACAAGCTTTGGAGAGCTCTGAAACAAAACAGGCAAGCTAGAAAACTGCACACTTAACTTGAAAAGCAAAATCATGCCAAATCCTTTTATCACTGCTTTAAGCAAAAAACAGAAGTGGAAGCTGAGTTACAGCTGCTTCACACCATTCTGGGAACGCTGTCACAAAATGCTGTCATCCAAAGAGCG